GATGTCTGCTGGATAGAAACTACTAAATTGTTGATATATACACAAATGCAAAAGTTAAGGACTGTGCAGAGAACATTATAAAATTGAAATCAGAAACTTCACAAGATGAACAGGAATCAATACCAGCTTTCTCCTTAAGGATTTTTGCCACATTCTAGAAACCTCATGTGTCTGTTTTGACAGCTTTACAAAAACAGAGGATATCTACTTCCTCTAACTAAGGTGGGAGGTATGAGATCCCTTTGTATAAAACTGAGATGTTCATTGTAAGGATAAATAAGATAAAAACCTACTGCGTAAAAATGGACAGTAAGGAAACTAGCCTGTTTCAACCTTGACGTGGAATGGAGGGAGATAAAATCTCCCCTGAGAATTCACAAGCACAGGTTGATTTGAGATCCATGTTAATTATCTGTGTGGTCCCAAAAAACTTCAAATGGAGAATTTAATTAAAAATAGTCACAGGTTAGAAGTGTGGACAGGAGACTGGCTGAAATAAATGCAAATCACCTCTGAAAGTGTGCAGTTTCAAGTCATACTCCAAATAATACCCACAGATAGAGACCCAGGGAACATGAGCTCACAGTGAAAGATCACAAATACACAAAGAAATATACAACATTAATAGGAAGCAACAACAACAAGAATTATACAGCAGAATCAGACTCTCAAAGACTTCAGATATTGTTAGACAACGGATATAAAATAACTATGTTCACTATGTCTGAAATGAAAAGATAAGTTCAAAAAGATGATCAAGGAATAAAAAGACCCTAAAAATGAAAAATAATGTTTGAACAAAAGTCAAAAAGACCATCTAGAAATGAAAATAGAGTTGAAATTTAAAGTTCAATTGATGAATTAAACATCATCATAGACACAGTTGAAGACAGAAGTAATGAGCTGCAGGACCAATATCAATAAATTTTATCAGCACAGAGACAGAACAAAAAATATGAGTGGGAGACTGAATGTATTAAGTCTAATCAGACTTCTAGAAGGAGATAATAGGAAGTAGGGTCAATATTTGAAAGGAAAATGGCTGAGAATTTTCCAGAATTGTTGAAAAGCACTAATTCTTAGACTTAGAAAACTTGATGAATTTCAAACAGGATACATACACAGAGAATCCACAACTAAACACATCATAATGAAACAGCAAAACACCACAGCTAAAAGGATCTGAAAAACAATCAGAGAGAAAAGACAAGTTACCTGCAAAGAACTAAAGGTTAGACTAATAGATGATTTCTTACTAGCAACAATGGTAGCCAGAAGGTAGTAGAATGTCTTCAATATTGGAGAAAAAATAACATCAACTTAGAATTGTATACTCAGTGAAACAATTTTTCAAGACCTAGGAGAAATGAGTGAATTTTCAGACCAAAAAAGTAACAAGATAGTTTACCAGTAGACTCTGAATAAAGGAAATACCTCAGAATATGCTCTAAGGAGAAGGAAGAATGATCTCAGCTGGAAACCCCAAGACGCAAGAAGGTATGTAAACAAAAGTATAGGCAAATATGTGGGTAAATTAAGAAAAAATATGTATAAAAACAATATTATTGATAATGACTAATCTGTGAGATATAATTAGTAAGTTAGAATGAAAATTCAGGACAAAAACAGCATATTGGTTGGAGGAGCATGATCAGAATGAAAGTTTTCCTAGGGTTTTATTCAAGAGGAAGTGTGGTAGGTAGGATACAAAGATGTTTCCCCACCTCACCATGAACCACACATCCTGGCATTTACTCCTGAGTTTAGTCTCTTCTCACACTAAATCAGGGCTGGCCCTGTGTAGCCAGTAGAAAGCAGCAGAAGTCAAATTGAAGTCATAGGAGGTCTTGCAACTTCCACTGGGTCTCTGGGAATGCTCCTTCTCAGAACCCAGATGCCATTCTTATTAAAGTTCAAGTCACATGGCTACATGCAGGTGCTTCATGTACATTTCACAGCCTCAACTGAGCACCCAGCCAAAGACCACCATCACCTGCTGGCCATGTGAGTGACCCATTTTAGACATGGAATCTTCAGATGACTGCAGCCACACCCACCGTCTGACTGACATCACATGCAAGACCCCAAGCAAAAACTGCTCAGTTGAATCAAGTCAACCCACAGAACCATTGGAGATATCGTAATTGTTGCATTGAGCCACTAAGCTTTGGAGTGGTTTGTTATTCATCACTTGATAACCAGAACAGAGGGTAAAGACGTTGTTAGGAATAAATATTAGCATGGTTATGATAATCATTAAAAAATAGGCACAGAGATTATAACTTCTGACCTATAGAAGGGAAAATGGAATGAGAAATTTAAAAACCCTGAATCTAAAAGAAGGCAAGAAAAGAGGAAGAAAAAAGTAACAGAAAATGTGGGACATATTAAAATCACATAAAAAGATAGGAAAAATTTCATTATATTAGTAATCACCATAAATGTATTTGGGTAAAATTCTTTAGTTAATATATTAAGATTGTCTAAAAATAAAACAAAATAGTGAACAGTCATATTTTATCTATAAGGGACATACCTAAGTACAGAAAGATTTAAAGTCAAAGTATTGGGAAGAAAGATATGCCAGCAAAAATCTCATCAAAAAAAGGGGGTGGGGGTAGTATTGCTATATCAATAGCAGACAAAATATACTTTAGAGCAAAAAGCACCACTGCAGATAAAGAGGGCCCCTATATAATGATAAAAGGTTTAGTTCTTGAGGGAGATATGACAGCTTTAAACTTATGAATATATGTTCCTAATGACACAGTCCCAAAATATATAAAGCCAAAATCAATAGAACCAAAAGATGAAATAGAGATACCATCATAATGGGAGATTTTGATATACTTCTCTTAATAAATGGGATATCAAGCAACTGAAAATTAGTGACAATATAAAAGATTTCAACAACAGTGCAGTCAGAAACTTGATCAAATGGACATATGCACAGTACTTCACATACATGTATTGGAGAAAACAAAATTTTGTCCGGTATATATGGAAATGTGCATAATAACTGACTCTCATAGGCCATAACTCAGGCTTAACAAATTTCAGTGCTTAGTATCACATATAACATATGCTTTGACCATAATGCAATGGAGTTAGAAATCAATAACCAAAAGATAATTAGGAAACCCCTGCATGTTTGAAAATTTTAAACCTTCAAAAAATTTCAACCTTCAGAAAAAGATAAGTCTGGAGAAATAGAAACCAAACTGTTGGCACAGATTGGTTATCTATGGGAGGTTGTAATAGAGGTGATTTTTCAAATTGTTTTTTTCTCTTGTATTTTCTCATTTTGTCTGCACTGACAGTATATTCCTTTATGATAAAAATGTAACTGGAAAACATCTTTAGCTTTCATTCTATTCTCTCCTTGTCTCTCCTCTTCCTTCCTCAGTTGTATGCTTTCTTCTCCCCTATTCTCCTCAATAAGGAAAATGGGTAACTCCTACCTTCTTTTTTTCTTGAAGGAATCTTTAAATTTTTTTCCTTCCAAGTTAGGAAACCAGTAGATTTCATTTTGCTGAGAAAATGAAAACTGCATTTCAATTTATCTGCAAACGGTTCTCCATATGGTGAACTATATACTTTCTCTAAGTCATAGCTCTTGCTGTCTTGGTAGGACATAGGACAGGGCAGCAGTTGGTTGGGGTCATCAAGACAACCACCAAAATAAGAGGTGGAAGTCCTGCTTCTCTTTTTTTTTTTTGCTTAATTAACTCACTGGGTTGCCTTAGCTTAAGCAAGACCCCTCAGGGTCTCCATTTTTTGCAGTTGGATCAAGTGATATCTCAGATGCTCAGATTCCATATGAATCGGGCGGGAGCGCCGCCACGCTTCCCAAGCGGCACACTATCCAGTGCACCACCGGGCCGGCCCCATCCTTCCCACCTTTGTCAAAGATTATGATACCATGCGGCAGCCGCTGAGCTCCAGCAGCCAGAGGAGGGAGAGAATGACATGTCCTCGTCTCACTTTTGCTGATCTTGATCATGTGTGCAATTTTAATCGTTTCCACAGAGAAAAGGCAAACCTTGCTATTACCCTCTGCAATGACAAGGAGGAGATCATGGCCCAGGCCACCTTCCTGGACTATCCCAACTGGAATGTTGCCAAGCAGGATGACTGGGTGTCAGTATTCCGGGAGCTCGACAATGAAATCCCATGCACAGTAAGAACTTATGTGCAACGCTTATTAGAACAGCCTTAATTGTGAAGTCCTGTGTTTGCAATGATGTCTTTTCAGTTTGGGGGCTGAGCAGAAAGTATGTATATGACACCTTGACAGTTAAAAATGAAGTTGGCTGGTGAGGAAAGGAGGGTGGAGGGCAAGAGGCCAGAGGGGACAGACATGAGTAGGTAGGGGGCAAATCAGCCAGCTGCTGGCAAGGCCCAGACATGTTCAGCTAATGAGGGCTCAGAGCAGGAATTAAGGGGAGTGTCAGATGTGTCCCAGGTCTCACGTCGTTCTATGGGCGTTGGTGTCTGAGGTCTTTGATATGCTCAGAGGGTACCTGCCAGCCACACATTTGCCCCTTTAATCATGACAACAGAGCATCAGACTTAAGTCACACTCCATAATTTTCAGCATGCCCTTGTAGACTCTGGTTTATTTGATGCCTTCTAGCTGCGGGCACATGACAACCTGTCGGCTAATGCGAGCTAGGTTAGTATTTACGAGGAGTCTGGCCTGGGTACCTGGTGCCAAATCTGAGCTTTCCCTGCACACAGCCTGCCAGAGCCAGGCCAAAGACAAGCCCCAGTGTATGTGGAGAGCCAGAGGCTGCAACTCTGGGCAGCAACTTCTCGTGTCAGGGGAATTCAGAGGTATGTGTCTAGAGCCTGGATGTAAGAAAAAGTGTGGATGCCAACCGAGTACATGAGTGAATTCACCCCTCTCTCATGGTGTGCATGTGCATACATGCATGCCCCTGAGCAAATTGTTCAGCCTCTGTTCAGCTGGATGGAGCCTTCCCCTCACCTTCTGTGCTCTCTCCTACCCCTGCCATCCTGTACACCCAGTCATCGTCAAAAAAGCTATCCCAAGTTCAGAAATAGACCAAAAAGATTCTCTCAGTCGATGCTTGTACCTTTGATTGACTTTCTGTTGACTGGGTATTTTACAGTTCTGTAGGAAGAACTATTGCAGATTTTTGTCCATTTGAGATGTCAGTAATTCCTGTCTGGTGAAAGAGCTAACCTCAAAGGTTATGGTTTATGGCCCCGTGAGATGTGAACCGTTTTGTATCTAACCCAGCAATCTTGTTCTTACATTCCCTTATTAAGTCGCCGGAAGTATCCACCTCCTCAAGTGCAGGGAATCATTTTTCATCATCTTACTTGTTACCTCATTAATTGATGAATTGAAGCTGAATAAATATCTGACAAGTGTTCATTTTATGTCTGCATTAGGGCCATGATTTTTGCCTTTTTGAAAATTATAAATTGTAATTATGAGTGATAAATTATTCATAACCTCTTTTCCCTTTTGTTTCTTTTTTTTCTCTTAAGATTATTTCTTTTTAAACTACTTCCTATAACAGTGCAGAGCCAGGCTGTTCAATATGTAGCCACCAGCTATAGGTAGCTGTTAAGCACTTGAAATGTGGCTAGTCTGAACTGAGATCTGCTGTAAGGATAAAATATACACCAAATTTCAAATACTTAGTAGGAAAGAAAAATAGTGTAAAATATCCTGAACAATTTTTTATATTGATTACTTGTTAAAATGATAATTTTAATATATTAAGTTAAATTATATTAAAAATTAATTTCACCCCTTTATCTTTCTTCTTTTTTAATGTATCTATTAGAAAATTTAAAATTTCATTTGTGGCTTGCATTATTTTTCTATTGTGCAGCACTGGTGTAGAGCCTTAAGGCTTATTGTATTACATTTCCCAGCAGTATTTGCAACTGAAGTGATGATTTGTATTTTAAAGCTAAAGAATAATCTAGAATTGTAATATTTCTGAAGGAGAAAAAGATTTGGAAGACAAATCAAGCAAATAATAAACCATGTGCTTCTAAGGCTAGTCCTATTCAAAACATAAAGCAAATGTTGGTAAGATTGTTATGGGATTAAATGAGTTAATATATAGAATGTGCTTAAAATCATGTTGTTGTTGTTATCTAGACTTTGGGGTTTGTGTATTTGCCTTTTGAGAGTTCTCAAGCAGGTAAATCAAACTGCTGATTCTTCTCCTACCATTTTATGCACAGCCCAATTCCTTCTGAGTGCTTCTGAGGCACACCCCATTTAACAGGATTGGAGACGAGGCATACAGACACCTACAATTGGTAACCCAAGCCCATCTAGAAAATTACAGAGAACAAGAAACACAGACAGCGCTCTCGCTGCCCTGATCTAGGTACACCAAGCCCATTGAGAAAATTACAGACAAGAAATACAGACAGCACTCCCGCTGCCCGGATCTAGGTGAAGCACTACCCTCACCAGGCAACAACCTCACATTTGCACTATTTCTAGAGTCTGAAGATTCATAAACACAGGGGTAGCAAGTTGAGCGGACCAATGTGTGGATATATAGAACTATTTGTTTAGGCCAATAAGAAAGTCTTCAGAAATATGGGACAAGGTTCTTTAACAACTTGGAAGATTTAACCTGAAAGTCATATTAGGATCTTGCTACTTTGTTTTCATCTCCTAGGTTTTCTGGATCTCAGGAGTAATATTTGATTCTGACTCTGAGAATGTTGAACAAAACAAGCCATTGGATTCATAATGTGGCATTTACCTTCCATCCTTTAAATTCGTAAGAGAATCTTTCCCTCATGTTGCATGAATAGAACAGCAGCTGCTGACTTGAGAGCCTCAGGAAAAGGGGGATTGTCTTTCTTTTTTTTTTGTCTTTTTTACTGACCGGTAACGGGATTGCAACCCTCGGTGTTGCGCCTGCACCACGCTCAGCCAGTGAGCGGGAACCGGTCTCCACATGGGATCCGAACCCTCGGCGGGAGCGCTGCCGCACTCCCAAGCGGCACACTCTCCAGTGCGCCACCGGGCCGGCCCATGGGGGGGAGGATTGTCTTTCACTTGGTATAGACACCCCTGAGGACAAGGCTACTGAGTTAATAATCTATTTCACTCTCCTATAGGCTCTTCACTGCCCACAGCCCATCTGTGAGAGCAGGAGGAAGGGCCAAGTGGTCTGGACTCTTTTATGAACACTGTTTCCTTGAATAATTCTGATCTAGGCGGACAGAAGGCCATGAAGAGAGTCAGTGAAACAGCTCAAAAGCTGCCTGGGTGTCTCATCACTTAGAGCTCAAATGCTGCCTGGGTGTCTCATCACTTACACATAAAATATCACCCACATATGCCAGCAGCTCTGTGTCTATGGCTGCTCTGAAATCCTCCTCCCACCCTGCCCTGCCCTAGCCTGAATGCTGACTCAGCCTTTAATCTGTGTTCTCTTTCCTCCTACAGCCTCTGAATACATTGTTCATGCACCTCTTTGCAGCCGTGGATGAGTTTTCCGTTGGCTGTTGCAAGGAGATTATTCGGTAAGTGGACAGGCCTTGCAGTGGTGAACATGAGAGAGACCCTGTGGATAGTTTTGAAATATTTTTAAAATGATTTGAAATGTGGGGAGGGGGGATTTGATTTGCTTGTAATTTGTGGTGATATTAAAGCATTTACTTTGAATAGCAGTGGTATTTCTGAAAGAAAATGATCTAATTCTTTGAGTCCATTCTNTGCTGTCTTGGTAGGACATAGGACAGGGCAGCAGTTGGTTGGGGTCATCAAGACAACCACCAAAATAAGAGGTGGAAGTCCTGCTTCTCTTTTTTTTTTTTGCTTAATTAACTCACTGGGTTGCCTTAGCTTAAGCAAGACCCCTCAGGGTCTCCATTTTTTGCAGTTGGATCAAGTGATATCTCAGATGCTCAGATTCCATATGAATCTAGCTGAGGGACAGGGCTCAGGGTTTTGAGAAATTGCTTCTTAAGAATGCTGATAGGGATGGAGCTAAACTCTTAGCTTTGCTGCTGTGCCTGTTTGGAGGTAACCAGCTCATCCCAGTTAGCCTAGAACTTTTCTCCTTTTAGAACTGAGAGTCCCATATCGTGTACACTCCTTCAGTCCTGGGCAAAGAGGGACAAGTGGCCACCATAACTGTACACGTTTAGGCCAACGCAGTAGTAGTAGCAATATGGAGAGGATAGGGAAAACTGCCCTCAAATGTATTTCCGAGCCAATCTCCAAGGGACGGGTATTAGACACTTGATATCATAAACATAGCACCTTTCTAGCGAAGTACAATTTTAAATAAAAATTTAGTTGATGGCACCACATGTCCTGAAAGATCTTGCCCAAAGTTGCTGCAACATCCTTCCCACCTTTTTTTTTTTTTTTTTTTTTTTTTTTTTTTTTTTTTTTTTTTTTTC